CACACAGCCTGAGGGTAATTTTCTTTTTCCCTTGGAGATGCTCAATAAACTGCGTGTTGTATGCCTGCATTTTGAGTGTAACCTATCACATGAGGTCAGATGTATAATTTTCTCACCAGCCTCGGTGTATGTGGTGGAGGCCCTACCCACTGAGCGACAGGCACTGCTGCATTTCAGATTTTTGGATTAGGGATGCTCGACCTGTACAACACATGTAAACATGTAAGTAAATTTAATAAGCTTTTTTTTTTTTTTTTTTTAATAGAGACAGAGTCTCACTTTATTGTCCTCCGTAGAGTGCTGTGGCATCACACAGCTCACAGCAACCTCCAACTCCTGGGCTTAGGCGATTCTCTTGCCTCAGCCTCCTGAGTAGCTGGTACTACAGATGCCCGCCACAATGCTCAGCTACTTTTTGTTGCAGTTTGGCCGGGGCCGGGTTTGAACCCCCCACCTTCGGTATATGGGGCCAGCACCCTACCATCTGAGCCACAGGCACCGCCCCATTAATAAGCTTTTAAAATCCCCCAAATGTATAATTTTCTCAGTGGAATAAATTTACAAGTATAAAAGTCAAAAATTATAAGTTAATTCTATTTCCCTACCATAGATTTAGAGAGATCCTTTGTACTGAGACTGAGATGAAATTTAGGCATCAATGGCTAGACGCCTGCAGCACAGTGGTTATGATGCCGGTCAAAGGCTGGCGGATTTGAACCCAGCCCGGGCCAGCTAAACAACAACAACTGCAACAACAACAACAACAAAAAATAGCTGTGCGTAGTGGTGGGCACCTGTAGTCCCAGCTACTTGGGAGGCTGAGGCGAGAGAATCACTTAAGCCCAAGAGTTTAAGGTTACTGTGAGCTGTGACGCCATAGCACTCCACCAAGGGTGACATAGTGAAACTCTGTCTCAAAAAAAAAAAAGAAAGAAAGAAAGAAAGAAATTTAGGCATATAGTGAGACTATGTCTGTCTCAAAGAAAAAGAAAAAGAAAAGAAATTTAGGCATCAAAGCTCAGTGCTAGCAAGGAAAAAAGAAAAGAAATTTAGAAAAAGGAGATTTATGGACTTTCATGACCACAAAAGCAGTAATGATAAAAGCTTATTTTTGCCCTGTGCTGAGCACTTTATGTGTATTGACTTGGTTGGCACTCACACCAACCTTATAAAGTGGGTACTATTGTTTTCCCTGTTTTGCAGTGAGTAAAATTAACACATATGTTGGTGGCTCAAACCCAAAATTACATGGCTACTTAGTAATATGGCTGAGTTATAATTCAAATTACACCTCCAAGGCTAGTTTTTTTTTTTTTTTTTTTTTAAAAACCTTGGGGGCACAAAACACCCTTGTACCGAGGGTGGCAGGTTCAGGTCCGGCCCAGGCCAAACTGCAACAAAAAAAATAGCCAGGCGTTGTGGTGGGTGCCTGTAGTCCCAGCTACTTGGGAGGTTGAGGCAAGAGAATCACCTAAGCCCAGGAGTTGGAGGTTGTTGTGAGCTGTGACGCCATGGCACTCTACCGAGGGCAATAATGTGAGACTCTGTCTCTATTTAAAAAAAAAAAAACCTTCAGTGGGACCTGTGGCTCAAAGGAGTAGGGCACCGGCCCCATATGCCAGAGGTGGCCGGTTCAAACCCAGCCCTGGCCAAAAACTGAAGAAAAAAAAAAAAAACCTTGAAAAAAATTACACGAAAGCTTGGCAAGGTGGCACATGCCTGTAATCCCAGCACCCTGGGAGGCCGAGGCAGATGGATTGCCTAAACTCAGGAGTTAGAAACTAACCTGAGCAAAGGGAGACCCATCTATCCTAAAAATAGAAAAATTAGCTGAGGGTTGTGGTAAGTGCCTGTAGTCCCAGCTATTTGGAAGGCTGGGGCAGGAGGATCACTTGATCCCACGAGTGAGGGCAAGGAGGGTGGATTTCCTGAGCTCAAGAGTTTGAGGCCAGCCTGAGCTAGAGCAAGACTCTTGTCTTCTAAAAATAGCTGGGTGTTGTGGCATGAGCCTGTAGTCCCAGCTACTTGGGAGGCTGAAGCAAGAGGATTGCTTGAGCCCAACAGTTTGAGCAGCACTCTACCCAGGGTGACAAAGTAAGACTCTGTCTCAAAAAAAAGAATATATTGGGCAGCGCCTGTGGCTCAGGAAGTAGGGTGCCAGCCCCGTATGCCAAGGGTGGTGGGTTTGAACCTGGCCCGGGCCAAACTGCAACAAAAAAAGAATATAGTCAAAGCTCCTCCAGTTGGATTCATGGCTTTGGCCTCAATGTCCCCTTTAAAACTTCTCTGGGCTGAGCAGCGTCCATAGCTCAGTGGATAGGGCACCGGCCACATACACCAGGGCTAGTGGGTTCGAACCCTGCCCAGGTTAGCTAAAACAGTGACCACTGCAACAACAAAAAAAATAGGCGTTGTGGTGGGAGCCTGTAGTTCCAGCTACTTGGGAGACCGAGGCAAGAGAATCACTTAAGCCCAAGAGTCTGAGGTTGCTGTGAGCTGTGACCTGCAATGCCACAGCACTCTACCCAGGGTGACAGCTTGAGACTCTTGTCTCAAAAAAACAAAACAAAACAAAACTTCTCTGGGGGCAGCGCCTGTGGCTCAAGGAGTAGGGTGCTGGGCCCCCTATACTAGAGGTGGTGGGTTCAAACCCAGCCTCAGCCAAAAAAAAAAACTTTCTCTGGGCTTATTTATTAAGTGCTTATTATACGCCAAGCACTAGGCTAGTCACTGAGGATGAGTAGTTTACAAACTTGGTGGGAATACAGGAATATCAAATAACTTTAATAGGGCATAATCAGCTGTTATAGTCTGTGAAAACGTGGATAATTTCTGGCAATGGATTATAAAATACTAAGTTTTTGTTATCTGTAGGTTCACAAAATCTAGAACAGTAATGTCCAAAGTGGTAACTGCTAGCCACATTTCAAACAATGAACCACCACACAAGGCTAGTCTTATCATTTTGGATAGCACAGCATAAATCACCATCATCCATGGAAAGAGGGGTTACCCATAATTGCTTCAAGGACCATTTCCCCTACATGTACTCTGCTACTAATCCAATTTTCCATCCTCCACACACCTTGGCTCACGTGCGCGCATATATATATATATTTTTTTTTTTTTTGGAGACAGAGTCTCACTTTATTGCCCTTGGTAGAGTGCTATGGTGTCATAGCTCACAGCAATCTCAAACTTTTGGGCTCAAGCAATCCTCATGCCTCAGCCTCCCAGGGAGCTGGGACTACAGGTGCTTGCCACACAACACCTGACTTATTTGTTTGTTTAGCAGTCCAGGGCTGGGTTTGAACCCACCAACCCCAGAGCATGTGGCCAGCGCCCAACCACTGAAGCCTTGGCACCCAGCCATGAGGCTCCGGTATATTTTTAAGTAGTATAAGCTCCCAAGAGAGAATGCATGAAAGTACTCCATAAACTAGTGATACAGAAATGTGACATAATAAATAGGTTTAGTTCTTGCTTTCATCACACCTTTGGTTACCTCAAGCAAATTCTAGCTCTTTTAATTTCTCCCATTCCCATAGTTTACCGCAGGGAGTCCCGAGAAAGGTACACAGGCAAAGTGTTTATCCCAGGGCTAAAAATCCAGATTATACCAACCGTGAAGCTTTTAATCCAGGACCCTAATTTACCACCCACCTTCTCTGTCACTTTCCCTAAAAAAGGAAGGACACAATTAAGATTTCCAAGAGAACAAAGTATTTATTTTTAAATTTGTGAACTGTAGGAAACTTAAGTAATGAGAGTAGGAACCTCATCGGGGTCTTCTGGAAAATCAGAAGCACCATCCTGTGATGCAGCTCGATACTTCTCCAGTTTAGCAATCAATTCTTTCGCTGGATTGAAGACGCCATTGGTCTGCTGGTCACAGACATAGCAGCGTGGGGTGGTGCGGAAATGCTGCAGTGCACAGCTCTCGCAGAAATAATGCCTGCATTTGGTGACAACTGGGTTTTGGAAGGTCTGGCGACAGATGAAACACTTGAATGGTATTTCCTCATCATCGCTTCCCACTTCATAGTTTTCGTCCTCATAGACACCATAGCGACCCTCATCAAGCTCACGCTCGATCTGCCACCCATGCTTGTAATCTGAACGGTCATGGAGGAACTTGCAGCTGTCTCCGAAGCCGCAGAAGCCAGTCTCTTTGTAGTCCTTACAAATATCGGGCTGGTAATCCCAGCGCACGGTGGCACGTAGATGCTCCGGGGCTCGGATGGGACCCTTCCTCACCATCCCCGAGGAGGCATTGCCCATTGAGGTATCCTTGGGCTTCATGTACTTCTGATAATTATTAATTCCCCGATAGATCTTGTCATCCTCCTTGCCCCTCAGCTCCTCCTGGATTTTCTGGCTGCGCTCAAAGATAGCTTGTGCGTCACGCTCCTTCTCTGTGTCCAACTCGTAGACAGCTGTCGCCCCCATGTCCTCTGGTCCCACGGGTTTCGCCGAGCGGGTGGACTTATAAACAACCCCAAGACTCTCGGGCGCATTGTCCATCTCCTCCTCCTCGCTACTCAAGTCGCCATAAACCGCCTTCTGTTTACCACTGCCACCAGTCTTCTGTATCATTGGATTGTGTGTCACCCGCTTTTTCTCCGGGCGAACCACAGTGCTGCCTTCCTCACTACTGCTGCTACTCTCGTCCTGCTCCGGATCGCAGGCCCGGCGCTTTCTGCGGCCTACAGCCCCTTTCCGCCCAGGCTTTTTGAAAAGGAAGGTGCATACCTGGTTAGCACTCTTGCCTGGAGAAAGTTGCTCTGCCATTTTAGAGTTCCGAGCTTTAAAACGGCTGTGGCGTGCTAGGTCGCGCGGGACCTTCTCACTGCACTTGGCGTTGCGCGCTCGGCCGCAAGAGAAAGCGAAAGAGACTTAAGCAGCAGAACTGGGCGAGCGGAGCACCACCCACTCTTGAGCCCCGGCGGATTCCGTCGCTTCCTCCGGAGCCGTAAAGTGGCACCGCCCAGTCTCTGGCTGTCGCGAGGCTTACCCGGAAGGGAGCCGAAGCCCGGTCACCTTTGATCGGCCTGCGAGTGGAATATTGGCCGCGGTAACCGTGTCGGGATGTGGTTCGAGATTCTCCCTGGACTTGCCGCCATGGGCATTTGTTTGGTCATCCCCGGAGTGGCGACTGCGTACATCAACAAGTTCACCAACGGTGGCAAGGTAAGGCGCCTTCCCGGGCCTGGCGGCTGACTGCACGGACTGGATTTCCAAAAGGGGCGGTGTGGGAGGAACGCCGTTGGGATGCGGAGCCTCTCTCCGAAGCGGGGAATGCCAAAGTGGAGGCTCGCATAATGAGGCCCGACAGAAACCACCTCCTGCTTTAGTGAAAATAGCTGGGTTCTAGGTAGAGAGGAGTGTGCTGTAGGGCAGAGTAGCGATTCGGGGAGTTGGAAGATAGGAGATGAGAAGAGGTGGGTCTAAAACTCCTAGGCCAACGAGAGAGGCGTCAGTCCTGCCCCACTCGTTCCGAACTCTAATAGTTCTTGTTCGATTTTGGTTTCTTTTTTTTGCTGTTTTTGGCCGGGGCTGGGTTTGAACTCGCCATCTCTGGCATATGGCGAGTCCTTTGAGACACAGGCGCCACCCTCGATTTTGGTTTTGATTTCTCACATCTACATCTCTGTAGTTTCTCCGTTATGTCTTAATTAGATTTTTCCCTTGATTTTTTTTTTATTCCCCACTTTTTCTTGCAAGCCCTTAGGAATTTACGGCAAGATCCTATTTTTCACATCAAGATTTTCATTTTCCCTCCTTTCTTTTTTTTTTTTTTTTTTTGAGACAGAGCCTCAAGCTGTCCCCCTGGGTAGAGTGCTGTGGCATCACAGCTCACAGCAACCTCCAACTCCTGGGCTCAAGCGAGTCTCCTGCCTCTGCCTCCCAAGTAGCTGGGACCACAGGCGCCCGCCACAACGCCCGGCTATTTTTTTTTTTGTTGGTTGCAGCCGTCATTGTTGTTTGGCGGGTCGGGCTGGGGATTCGAACCCGCCACCTTAGGTGTACGTGGCTGGCGCCTTAGCCGGTTGAGCTATAGGCGCCGAGCCTTCCCTCCTTTCACATTTAGATTTATGATTGTCCTTCTCATGTGATTTACCATTGTTAGGGTTGCCACAGGCAACAAGTAGACTTTTCTTTAAGAAGAAAGTTAGGAAGAAAGAAAAACAACCCCACCAATGTTGGTTAAAAGTGTAAGAAGTCATGGTAACTAACTTAATCCTAATGTTTAGTGGTCTGATTTAATTTAGGAGATTCTGGTCTTGTGTGGCTTATTGGGGCTTTTATTTCAGTGATGATTCTATTTTTTCTAGAGTGTGACTTTATAAAAATTCTAATAGTAACCAATTGAGTTAGTCATCTTTATAAAGTGCATTAATGATTGTCTTTTATTTGAAGGAAAAAAGAATTGCTCGTTATGTGCAACAATGGCACTTGATGGAAAGAGATAGGCGCATCTCTGGAGTTAATCGCTACTATGTGTCGAAGGTAAGATGACCATGATGCTAACCATCTGTCAGGGGTGAGGTCGGTCCTGGTAATGCCTTGCTAGGGGCCATACATTGCTGATTTACTTAACATTTTCTTCTTTACTAGTGAGGTTGAGCAGCCTTTTATAAATTTTAATGATCTTTTGTATATCTCTGGTTTGTTTACCTATATCTTTTGCCTGATTGTCTTTTTCTTGTTTCTTTTATACCTGTTTATATATTCTGGATTTTATTTTATTAATTTATTTATTTCTTTTTGAGACAGAGTCTCAAGCTGTTGCCCTGGGTAGATTGCCATGGTGTCACAGCTCACAGCAAGCAACCTCCAGCTCTTGGGCTTAAGTGATTCTCTTGCTTCAGCCTCCCAAGTAGCTGGGACTACAGGAGCCCGCCACAACACCCAGCTATTTTTCTATTGCAGTTGTCGTTGTTTAGCTGGCCCCAGGCTGGGTTCGAACCTGCCAGACTCAGGGTATGTGGCTGGCGCTGTAACCACTGTGCTACGGGCCCTAAGCCTATATTCTGGATTTTGATTTTTTGTCTGCTTTACATGTGGCAGGTATTTTTTCCTCGGTCTGCTGTTAGTCTTTTTCACTTTGTTATACTTTCCATCATAGCAGTTTTTAATTTTGATGTTGAGTTTTATCATGTTATAATCATTTCTGGATTCTGGGTTATATGTCTTCCTTACAAAAGCCTTTCCTACCCAAGATTATAAAAATACTGCTGGCCTTGAACTCCTGGGCTCAAGCAATCTTCCTGCTTCAGCCTTCTTTGTAGCTAAGACTGTAGGCTCTTTGTCCAGCTAATAAAAATACATTTCTTAACAATTTTCCCAAATATTGTTAATTTTTTCTTTTCTTTGTTTTTATTTATTTATTTATATATTTTTTAGAGAGACAGAGTCTCACTTTATTGCCCTTGGTAGAGTGCCATGGTGTCACAGCTCACAGCAACCTCCAACTCCTGGGCTTAGGCGATTCTCGTGCCTCAGCTTCCCGAGTAGCTGGGACTACAGGTGCCTGCCACAATGCCCGGCTATTTTTTGTTGCAGTTTGGCTGGGGCCGGGTTCAAACCCACCATCCTCGGTATATGGGGCTGCACCCTATCTACTGAGCCACAGGCACTGCCTTCTTTTCTTTTTTAATAGTTTTTTAGTTCATCTGCAGGTCATTTGGGGGTATAATATGAAGAAAGGATTTAACTTTACTTTTTTCTGAGAGGTAGCCAGTTGTTACAATTACCCACTTTTTTAAGTTTATTTTTATTTGAAATATTATCATGGTAAACTAAATTTCCATGTATACATGGTCCTGTTTCAGGAATGTACTCTTCTGTAGTCTGTTGGTATGCTGATTCCTGTACCAATGTCTCATTTAAAGAGTTATTATAATTTAAAAAATTTCTTTTTGTTTGTTTTAGAGGCAGGGTCTTTTTCTGTCAACCCAGAACTGGAGTGCAGTGTGTTATGATTATATCTCACTGCAGCCTTAAATTCCTGGGTCAAGCAATCCTCTAACCTCAGCCTCTCTAATAGCTAGGACTATAGGCTCATTATACCATGCCCAGCTAATGTTTTATATTTTTGAGTAGCGATTGGACTTTCACTATGTTGCTCAGGCTGGTCTTAAAATTCTGGCCTTGGCTCAGTGCCTGTGGCTCAAGCGGCTAAGGCACCAGCCACATACACCTGAGCTGGCGGGTTCGAATCCAGCCCAGGCCCGCCAAACAACGATGGCTACAACCAAAAAATAGCTGGGCATCGTGGTGGGCGCCTGTAGTCCCAGCTACTTGGGAGGCAGGAGGCAGAAGAATCGATTGAGCCCAGGAGTTGGAGGTTGTTGTGAGCTGTGATGCTGTAGCACTCTACCCAGGGC